TTAAATGATAAAATTCCTGAAAATTTGGGATATTACATTCACCCCTCCTAAAAAGGAGTTTTGTCCCCAAAACTCAAATTGAGGACCATATCAAGTGGTGAATGGCTTCACACAATCCGAGACAAATCAATTGCCTCACAACTCTTATAAACAGAACATGTCCTACTACACTTCCGTTGCGCCACTCTGAAATCAAATCACAACTAATCTTAAAAAGCAGAACACTAATCACTTAACAAGATTTGCCATCAAATAAGCTACTGGAGGCTGGGGTAATACGGAAAGCACAAGGAATATAAATAAATCTAGCCAAAGCCACAAAGAACAATTGTGGGGTTACGCTTCGAACCCATCACAAGACGAGTTGACAAAGAATGGCATGGATTTACAGACTAGTACAACAAAATTTTGAACTCTTATCAAAGACGGATAAGCATCCAATGGATGTACGAATCATGAATGAATGAACAAATGCATGGATGCCTTACAAATTTTGCCACAAAACAAGGTCAACCAGAACCAAGATCTTGTTTAACAAAGCAACTGAAATCAAGAGGCAAATTTTAGCAATTAACAAGAGTTAAAAGCTAGGACCATCAAAAGACATGTGAGAATCTCAAGAATTGCAACAGAATAAAATCAATGGAAAATATGAATGCTTGGAAAAATATTGGAACATAAGAGTGCAAGGTAGAATGCCTCAAAAAATTCAGCAACAAAGTGGCATTCACCAAGAATTAAGATCACATTTAACCAAGCAGTCAAAATTGAGAAACAAGAGTTAACCATGAAACAAGCAATAGAATTCAAGGATTAAGCCCGCAAAAGAGATTTCAATAATGACAACCAGAACACGAATTCAAGGGTAGATATAATCAGGATGTCAAGATTTAACAACCCAAGTAACACGAATTAATTTAACAGAACAAAGCAATGGTTGGGATCAAGATGCTTAGAAGATTACTGTCTTCTAATTAAAAGGGCAAACAAAAATCAAAACAGCCAAATCAAAGAACCATTTCACTTGGAACAGAACTCTAGGGCATCAGGTACTTCAAAGACTACCCCTTCACCTCGTAGCCCATGGAGGTTAAGCAGATTTACAATCAAGTCATCCTAGAGTCAAGTTAAAGCTAAGGCATCAAGAATACGGAATTTAACACTTGCAAGAGACAAGAATTTAGAATACCTCATATAGGTATCTTCTGATAATCGTCACCCCTCCTAAAGAGGTGTCCATATGAACAAAAATCAAAAATCAAGAAGATCAATAGGTATACTGACACAAGAACTAGCAGAATATTCGAGATTCGAGCAAGAGCAAGAGTCAAAACAAGAATGGTTTTCAAGGTCAACTCAAAATAGATTTCAAGAACAGTGCAAGAATCAATTTCAGACAAGAATCAAGATAATGAGGATTTTGATAATCATTATCCATTTCTGGATTTCAGTTTCAAGAACAAGTACAAGGCAATCTCAAGAAAAATTCAAGATGGATTTCAAGAGTTTCAAGCAATTTCCAAATATCAAGAATGTAGAGATTGGCAACAAGAGAGAGTTTAACTTTATGACAGCTTGCTAATCTTCACAAAAATATGGCAATTTCAATTGAATCGATCACTGTTTTTGATTAACTAATATAAAAAATGAGCCACATGAAAAGACCACGAAGCTCCAAATGGAAAAAGTGAAATTTCACTATAAGACTTTCAGAAGGATAAGGAGCAACGGAATTACCAAGTTAATCCAGCTCCTAACACGCATCTAGAAAAACACACAACATTGGCTAAAATAGCCTTGAATCTCTTGCAAAGTAGAGGATTTACCCATCCTCCACTGGTCATGCGACAAACAAAACAAATTCTCCACCAGCTATGCTGTAGAGACTGACAAGATCAATAACAAAAGTCTCTGCAACTCCCCAGATTTCACAATTGTGGCAAAAGAGCACACAAAAATTCTATTCACGTAACAAGCCTAAACAAGTGCGGACTATCAGAAAATGACCAAGTTTCAAAACAAGGTCTTCAGGACATAACAAGCAAGATCACTTTCACAACTTCACACAGAGTATGAAGGCAAGAAACAAGAACAATCATATCACCATCTCATCGAAATGGATGAGAAAATTCAGGCAACATGAATCAGAATCGTTCCTTATATACCCCATCACTCGTCTCACCACGGTTCTAAAATCCACTGGCTAGCCAAGTCCAAAACAAATCCTAGGTATTCAATTAAACCTAGGCTCAGATATCACTCAATCTGCTCTAATGCCACTCAATCTAGAGGTGCTTAATTTAATCCTAAGCTCTTAATTTCAACCTAAGCTCTTAATTTAAACTTATGCTCTGATACCACTAAATCTGTCACGCCCCAAAACCCAAATTCGGGGACGTGGCAGACGCCGTACACTC